GTGGCTTGGGATGAGGAAGAATGGAGAGTCATTGCTGAGTGTGCCTAAGGTTCAAGTTTTACAAGATGAAAAGATTTGTGGAGGTGGGACGTGGGACAGTTGCATGACATTATGGATGTACATGACTCCACGGAACTGCCCACCTAAAAAGGATGAAGCTGATATGTGTGTCAGGTGTGCTTTACCACAGAGGACACAGATCCATTTCCCATGGGAATGAAAACGGTACACCGAGGTGAGACCCGTTCAGTTTCTTGTGACATTACACATGCGCCTGCCAGATGATCTAGCAGCTTCACTCCTGGAGATTTTGTCTCAGAAGAATTCAGACGTACACCCCCACATGGAGCTGTACCCTATAGTCATAGCAGATTCAATTCACAATAAAAAACTGGAAATACCGCAACAGTTCATCCACGGGAGAACAGACACGGGTCAGCCTATTCACACAATGGAACACTACTCAGCAATGAAAAGGAGATAATCACTGATACACAAAGTAACAAATGAGTATTTAAGATATTATGCCAGACACAAAAAAGCATGATGTGCCCCCAACCCCCAAAGGGTCAGAATGAAACTGAGGCCTGTGGAAAACATGGAAATGAGGGCAGGGGTTCTGAGCAGGACAGTTCCACCCAGGACCCTCTCCCGGGTCCGTCCTTCCACTGGAGACCCGCCCTTGCTCTCCCCTGCACCCACACTCGGCTCCCGGGAGGTTCCCACAAGATGGCAGAGTAGCTAAAGGCCTTCTGGGTCAACAGCTTGTCCTGGCCATTCCCGGACAGCATGACCCTGGGCACTTGACTGGACCTTCCTGGACCGGATCATGTCCTCTAGGAGGTGGGGAGATGTGTACGTCTCTGTCGGAGGGTTCAGCTGCGTCCATGACGTGTCTGGGCCTGGGCCTGCTAACGTCAGGGGTGACCTGCTCCCCTGGACTGGACCCACGGGCCTTTCCCTGTTGTCCCTCTCCCTGTCCTCCTGACCCAGGAGCACGGGCCGCCCGCACATGGCCTTCCATGCTGCCTGTCTGGTTCCCCAGACCACGGGCTCCCAAGGGTTGGGGGCCACGCTGACCTGCTGAGGCGCTGCCTGGCCGTGGTCCACCCTCCATGAATGTCTGCTGACTGAGGAAGTGACCCGCACTGTGCACGGCCCCTCGGGGCAGCATGCCGTCCCCCGTCCCCGCCACCTTCATCCTGGCCCAGGCCCCGCTCCTGAGGCGGAGGGTGGGCAGCTCCCAAACGGCCGTGGTGGCATGAGGGTCGTCCAGGCGCCACAGGACACGGAGCTGCCCCTGGCTCACGGGACCCTCTGCCAGACCTGGGCCCTGTCACTGGAGCCCCTGCCACTTGTCCCTCAGACACCAGGGAGGGTCTGAGCAACAGTGTCCCCTAGTGCCCCCAGCCTTGCTGAGGCCCCTCTTTTCCTGGAGGCTCTAACAAGGGCCAGGCCCCTGGACAGGGCTGGTGTCCATCTTCCTGGGGCAGGACGCCAGCCCCCTCCTCCTTGGGCCCCAGGTCCAGCCTCACCGCCTGTCTCCTGAGAAGCCAGAGCGGGGCAGGTGGGGTGGGGCAGCGGGGCCCGTGCTGGGCTGTCGGCTGCCCTCGCCGGGCCTTCCTGATGGCTCTGGGTCCTGCGCTCTGCACGGGCTCCTGCCGCACCCTCCCGGCCAGTTCAAACCCAGCTCCCGCGTGGCCTCCCCTTGCCCCCCTGCACGCGGCACGTCTGGGGCCACCCCGTGATCCTTGGTCACCAGGCTAGTTCCCCACCAGCTGTGACCTCCCTGAGGTCAAAGGTCACAGCCTGTCACCTCCCTGTCCCCTGGAGCAGCACCCTGGACCCAGGAAGAACCTCAGGATCTACAAATCCACTGTCTTGCTTCACTCCTCGTGGGGGGCACTGTCACGGCTCCCCGGGGGAACAGGGACAGCGATGTCCCAGGCCCAGAGCTGGGTGGGGAGGGCCAGGCGGAGCTGGGACCCTAACCAAGCATGGGGAGCGCCCCACAAAGCCACCAGGGACCAGCTGCCCAGCGTCTGCCGTCTGCCACGTCACCTCTAAACCGCTTTCCTCGCCGCCTTGTAAGCGCCCGAGGCACAAAAAAATAATAAATAAAAATGAAGACCCGCAACCCAGAGGCCCGGCCCCAGGCAGCCGGCCAGCCTTGGATCTTCCGAGAGGTGCGAGGTGGCCCGTCCTGCAGTGACCCTGGTCCCCTGCAGCACCACCCGGCCCACTCACCTCCTCCCCACCAGTGCAGGTCCCAGGGCCTGAGGGCATGGTGTCCCTGCCCCCTGACCTGGCTGCCCCCCCAGCCTGCGGCTAGCACGGCCCCTCGAGGACCCGTGGTGGCACTGGACTGTGCTCCCCAGCCCCTGCAGGCGCCCGGCCTGGGACAGGGGCCCAGAGGAGATCTGCACTCAGAGCGCCCACGGTCGCCGGCCTGCTGGGGCCTGCACACAGATCCCCCGGGGGCAGGTCCTCTCACCTGCTGGCATTGTCCACTCTGTGTGGTGTGACGTCCCTGCTGCCATGTGGCTGTTGGCTGGCATTCTTGGTATCATGAACATGCCATTGTGTGAGTGTCCCTAGAGCCTGTCCTCTGTGACACACGAGGGGTGGCCTCTGGTTTGCAGTGGTCACTGCCTTTCCGGTGTGGCCTGCACCTTCAGTGAGCGACTGCACGCATTTCCGCCGTGTCCAGGCCTCCAAGCAGGACTGCAGGCCACGTGCCCAAGGCCCAGCTTCCAGGGTGTGGCCGGCCGTGGCCATGGTGGTGGGGCCTGTCCTGACACCCAGCTTTCCTGTCACCTGCAGCAGGGACTCTAGAGTAGGGGTATGGGCAGTGCCCGGGAGGGGACAGGGAGGCTCAGAGGCGCCTGTGGGGTCCTCCAGCACATCACGCTTCAACAGACAGGTTAGACAAATGTCCCTCTGTCCTCTGGACGTTGTCACCTTCCCTCCTGTGTGCCAGATGCCTGTGCCCACAGGGCACACCATGCCACGGGCAGAGAAAGATCACCAACTGGTGGCCAGAGAGTGTGTCCTGTGACTGAGGTGACATGGGCCCTGAAGGACAGGGGGCCACTGGGAGGGATGGGGCAGGAGGCCCCCTAAGCTGGGGCACCCGGAAAGAGCTGTCCCCATGTGGGCAGGTAGGCCCAGACGAGGAGGAAGAGGAGGACGTGTCCCCAAACAGTGGGCGAAGAGCCCAGGGCATTCACGATCCAGCATGGAGCCCTGTGCCCAGGAGCAGAGCAGGCCGGGAGCAGGCCCGGAGGTGAGGGTGCGGAGTGCCAACCAGGACTGCCAAGTGTCCAGCAGGAGAGTGTCAGGCCAGTTCAGAGGGCAGCCTGGTGTCCCCGCCATGACCCCATTCAGGCCACGTCTCTCCTGCAGGGTCCTGCCACCCCCGCCCGGAACCCCTGGCCAGCCGTTCAGTCAGGCTTCTCAGTAGGAAGTGGCCACTCTCCTCACTAATGTGCATTACTACGCCACAGACGCACGGGGCACGTCCTGCGTGTTGGCGTCATGTGTTAGTACGTGATCGACATGCGTGACTTCTTAAACTTGAGGAACTCGTCACTGTCATTGTTAAGAAGGTTTCAGAAGGTCCAGGCAGTGGTGGAGCCTGCGCAGCGTGCCCGAGGCCTGGGCTCCATCCCGGCTCCGCGCACACAGCCACAGAACTCCTAAAGATGGCAGTCAGTACCCGCAAGGACCGCGCCAGGCTCTGGGCCGGAGCCCCTGCAAGAGGAGCAGGGTGAGACGCGGGCTGCACGGGCCAGAGCCACGGAGGCCAAGAGGACCCACCCCACCCACCCCGCAGCCCGCTGGAGCGCCTGCCGACTGCTCTGCCCTCCCTCTGGGAGCCAAAGGCCGATGTCCTCGGCTTTCCCCTCCCCGTCACCCTGCACTTGCCCCCAGGACCTCAGTGTCCTCTGCAAAAATGGGACCTTTGTTGAGAGGACCTGGGACCAGGTGGGGACCTGGAGGGGACTGGAGGGGACCTGGAGGGGACCTGGAGAGGGCCTGCAGACCCTCCATTCTCATAGGCGGTGGCTCTGGACGGCCAGGACCCACTCAGGAGGGACACTGCGCATCCCACCTTCACTCAGGAGGATCTGGCCCTCAGCCACCTGTCCTCATGGGGACTCGGCCAGGAGATGCCCTGGACCTCAGGGACCTCGCCCGGCAAGCCCAGGAAAGGTGAGTGCCCGGGCAGGCAGCGAGGAGGTCAGGGGGCGGAGCCTGCAACAGGTGGGGGAGGCCGGGGAGGAGGCCCCTGTGAGGAGGGACGGCACCTGGAGCAGGGCTGGCCCCGCCAGGGCTGCAGCCGACTCGGGTTCCCCCAGGGAGCTGACCGAGCTGCCTCGGGGCCGTGCAGCCTGCAGACCCTCAGAGCGCCCAGTGGGGCCCTTGGGGCTTTGTGGGCAGCCACTGAGCCCCAGGGCACCAGGCAGGAGCAGGGACTGAGGAGGCCAGCCCAGGGCGGCCCTGCAGGCGGCAGCCCCTCCCCTCACTGGGTGTGGGCAGAGAGCAGAGGGGCAGCGGGCAGCTCTCCAGCACAGGCCTGTCCCTGTCACCTCCCTCCGGCTCGGGTGGCCTGGGGCAGCCCTGGAAACACCCTTTCCTGGTGGCTCTGTGAGCCCCACCTGCCTCTGGATTCAGGTCACAGAGACCAGGTGGCCCCTGGCTTTTCCACAGTGGCCTTACTGAGACCCACGTCCAGGTGGTCACACGGACCCCACACGAAGCTCCTCAGGAGGACACCGTCCTACACCTGGGCCAGGATCCGCTCCGGAACCAGGGTCTCCCTCTCCCACCCTCTGCCCCGGCCGCCTCTGCCGCACAGACCCCTCGAGGCTGCCTTCTCTGTGCCTCAGGACCTTTCACCCCAAAACCCGCTGAGCCAAGTGGGCGGAGGGAGCTCAGGGAGGCCCCAGGGTTATCTGGAAGCCGGGCCTCCTGCTGGACGTCCCTGCCCAGGCGCAGGAGCGTAGGAGCCGGCAGGCGTGGGAGGGAGTGGCCCCTGCTCCTTTTTGGTTTCTTGGTTAACTGTCCGGCTGTCACCCCGCGCGCCATCTTAAACAACCCTATTCTGGAAACATCTGTTCAGCAGCTGCGGTGTGTATCTCAGGGCCTCCTCCACCTTCAATGGGGGCTTCAGTGAAGCCATCGCACAGCCCCATCAACAGATAGGAGACAGGCCCAGAGAGGTGGAGCCCCTGCCTGAGGACACACAGCGGGTAAGTGAGAACTGGACTCTCACATGGTCTTTCCTGGCTCCAAAAGAGGGTGTTTGTTTGTGTCCCTATCAGGACAAACTTGTTCTTCAGAACCTCTCAAAGCCTCTCCAAATGTGCTGGGTAGATAAACAGAGGCATCTGGACGTCAGAAGCCCTCTGCCCAGCTAAGGCCGCGAGCTCAGGAAAAACCCGAGGCTTCAGCTGTCTGCTGACGGCAGAGCGTGAACTGCCATCTCCAGCAAAAGCCCCAGATGTCGACCCTGATTTTGATTAGCAGGCGCCTGTGTGCACAGCGGTGCCGGGATCCACCTGGGAGCGGGGAGCCAGCAGCTCTTCAGCTCAGGGAGTGGGGGGCCGGGGGCTCCTCCAACAGCCCTGCCACCCCGCCCAGCGGACTGGCTTCCTGGGAGGGGAGTAGTGGGACCCTGCGTCCCTGCCCGGGGGCTGAGGCCAGCAGGGGCACCACCCCGAGTGGGGTGGGGACAGTGGGGGACAGGACTCTGGGGATTTTCCAGGCTGACCGGGGTCTGGCTGGGGACCTCAGTCCACCCTGTGCCAGCGAGTGCGACGGAGCTGGAGAGGGCTGCCTCTGTCTCTTTCCGTGGTGTTTTTGAAGGACCCAATTATCCCAGCTCTGGCCCGGGGGGTACCTTGGCCCGCAAAGCCCAGGGCTTGTTAAAAGCATCTGACAGCATCTGTCATCGGAGCTGCGAGTCGGAGCAGGAATCACAACGCCCCTTTCCCACGCCAATTAGAAGGCTGTCAGCAGCCAGCGCCGGGCCTGCCTCCTCCTCAGTCCCCACTGGGACAGACGGGCGGGGAGCACCGAGGAGGCTCTGAGGGTCTGCAGACTCCAGCCTCACCTGAGGCCGGCAGAGCGCTGCTGCTGCTTGACCTGGGAAACCAGGGCCGTGGGGGAGCGTCCAACGCTGCACATCTAAGTGCAGAGGAGGGACCTGGCCTGGGCCACCAGCCCAAGGTCAGGCAGAGCCCAAGGTGAGCCAGAGCCCAAGGTCAGCCAGAACCGAAGGTCAGCCAGAGCCCAAGGTCAGCCAGAGCCCCAGGTCCGCAGTCCCTGCCCCACGGCCTTTGCCTCTGTGCCTGTTGTTAAATCCCTTGGGCATCCGCCCACTCACCCTCCCAGCCTCAGGGCTCAGCCCACACCTGCTGTCCCCTGGAGGGCCTTCGGGAGCTCAGGCGCTGGTCCTCCTGCCGCCCACCTGCCCCATCAGAGGGGGTCACCCTGAGAGCTGCATGCCATCCACTAGGTCCGTCTCAGCCCAAGTCCTAGGCACCAGCAGCCTCGCTGCCCAACTCAGGCAGCACCATCCCCTGCAGAATAATGGCAGCTGTGACTCTAGTTGACCTTGAGGGGCCACTTGCTGTGGCAGACACCATTCTGACTAAGTCACCCATGAGGTGGGCGGAGCCATGTCCCTGCATCACAGATGCAGCAGTGGAGGCACAGAGAGGTTAAGTCACTCTCTCAGGGTCCCACAGCCAGGATTGTAGGCCCAGCTCACCTGGCCCGTGGGCCGGGCATTGCACTCTCTTCTGAGGAGGCAGCGGGGCAAGGCAGGCCCTCTGCTGTCCGACAGCCATGCCCCTCACCCCCTCTTCTGGACAATCCTCCGACGGCTTTCGGTCCCCACCTACCCTGCGTTTCCTCCTCTCTCTGCAAGGAAACCCGGGACCTGGAGCCTCAGCTGGGGTGAGCCCACTGCACCCTAGTAGGGGTCTCCCCGGGCCAGCAAAGGGAGGCTCAAGGAGGCTCCCGCGGTGGGCAACAGGCTGGGAGGACAGGGCCCTGCGGCCGTCAGTGGACCAGCAAGGAGGCTCCCACAGGGGAGCGGGGCCAGGCCCACAGAGCCTGGGTGCACAGCGCTCCCGGGAGTCCAAACAGCCCCCTGGGGCAGCACTTCATTCCTTACCCAACCTGCCCCCCCTGGAGGCCAGAGTCAGCCCCAGACCCAGGGAGATCCCAGCCCCACAGCCACCACCACCCGTCAGAGCTGCCTCCGATCCCGCAGCCTGGCCCTGCGAGCCCTCCAGCCCGTGGCCAGCTCCTGGCAGCACATCTGCCCCGCCCCTGGGCCTGGCTCCAGTAGTGTGCCCCAGCAGAGCCTGGCCCTCCCCTGCCCCGGCTCCGGCGGCCTCTTTCCCCACCTGAAGCCCCGCTCCCCATCCCTGCCTGGCCTCCTGCAGATCTGACCAGCCTCATCTCAGGTGGCCCCTCCTGGCCCTGCCTTGGCCCCCAAGCATACCCAGGGCCTCCACAGTCTCTCTCCTTCTTCCCTCTTCCCCAGCATGTGTCCTGCTCACTGCCTGTCCTCACCTGTCCACCTGCTGACAAGACCAGTCACAGAGGAAAGAGCACAGAGTTCTAGGGCTTGAAGTCTGCAAGGGGCCAAGGCCAGGGACTGCTTGATCTTCACATGGCATGCAGAGGAGAAGGCACAGAGTGACGCGGGCATGGAGGGAGGGGAGGGGGGGTGGGCGGATGGACGGGTTGGTGGACGGATGGACGGATGGGAGGTGGATGGGTGATGAGTGGATGGGTGGATGATGGATGGATAGATGGGTGGATGGATGGAGAGATGGGTGGGTGGGTGGATGGATGGATGGGTGGATGAGTAGGTGGATAGATGGATGGATAGATGAGTGGATAGATGGGTGGGTGGGTGGGTGGATGGATGGATGGGTGGATGGATAGATGGGTGGATGGATGGATGCATAGGTGGATGGATGCATAGGTGGATGGATGGATGCATGCATGCATAGGTGGATAGGTGAATGGATAGATGGATTGATAGATGGGTGGATAGATGGGTGGATGGATGGATGGATGGATGGATAGATGGATGGTGGATGGATAGATGGGTGGATGAGTAGGTGGATGGATGGATGGATGGATGAATAGGTGGATGGATGAATAGGTGGATAGATGGATGGATGGATGGATAGATAGGTGGATAGATGGGTGGGTGGATGGATGGATGGATGAATAGGTGGATGAATGGATGGATGGATGGATGGATGGATGGATGGATAGATGGGTGGATGGGTGGATAGATGGGTGGACGGATGGATGGATAGATGGATGGAGAGATGGGTGGATGAGTAGGTGGATAGATGGATGGATAGATGAGTGGATAGATGGGTGGGTGGGTGGGTGGATGGATGCATAGGTGGATGGATGGATGGATGGGTTGGTGGATGGGTGGATGGATGAATGGATAGATGGATGGATGAATGGATGGTGGATGGATGGATGGATGTGTGGATGGGTGAATGGATGGATGGCCTGGATTCTCAGCCAAAGGCTCAAATGCTTCAGTGTGTAAAAATTATGAACCTCACCATGGAGGCAGGGAGACACAGACCTCCCTGGACGGCCACCAAGCCGTGGGCCAACGGCTCTCAGTGTGGACAGGGTAGGGCTCTCGTGACTGTGCACCCTGTGCCCGACCCTTGAGCTGTGTCCATAGAATGTGCCTCTCTATTTGGCTCTAGAAGCTTCTCTGCCTCAACCTTTCCCAAGCCAAAGCCGATGGCGGCCTGGGCTTGGCTCCTGCTGGGAGCCTGGACCATCCAGTGGAACCCAGTTGGGTGTGACCTGGGGCAAGCCTGGCTGCTGAGAGCCCCCCTGCTCTTCACCCTGGGCGGGCAGCTCCCTGGCAGCCCACCTGTCTCTTGCTAGTCACCTCTCCCTCGGGAGCCCAGTCCACTGTCTGTAAAGGGGGCCCTGTGGCTGCTCCTTCCTGGCTTCGCCTGCAGACTGCGTGTGGGTCTGTAAAGCGCCACACGGGAGCCTCAGGGGGTGCGGCCAGCAGCCTGCGGCCCCGGGTGCTCCCGGCCTCTGCCCACACCCAGGGAAAGACGGGGTGCTCTTCTTAGGGGCCCCTGCCCTCCAGCCTCTGTGCCAGGTGGAACAGCCCTGTCCCTCTGAAAGACGCAGAATCAGGAGTCATCAGGGAGCAGAGAGCACCCCTCCCTGGACGCAGGCCCACCAGCACCTCGGTCTCAGACTTCCAGCCTCCAGAACTGTGGGAAGCAAATTTCAGTTGTTCCTAAGTGACGCCGCCTTGGGCATTTTGTTACAGCAACACCGACTGAGGCATGGGTGAAGCGGACACCGGATTCCCATCTCCACCCCAAGGGGTCCCTGCAAGGATTACAATACGAGGGGAACGCGGGGTAGCCCGGGGCCTGACTCAGGGCTGGGATGAGTGGGGGTCCCACTCTGTCCACCCCCAGCCCCGGGCTCGGCTTCCTTGTCTGTAGACGGGGTGTGACCATGACCTGGCATTTCCAGGGACTTGGCCCTGAGACAAGCACTGTGTCCCTCCTGCCACGAGAAGGGGAGAGTGGGAGGCGGTGGGACCAGGCAGGACACAGAAGGTGGTGCCAGGGCGGGGCCGGGAGCTAGGCTGGGAGGACGGCCTTGGCTACAGTGACTGGGGCCGGGGTGGCATGAGGACCCAACCACTAGCCCCAGGGCCTGTCACTAGCGGCGGGGGGGGGGGGGGGGGGGGGAAGGGGACAGGATGGGACGGGATGGGACCTGCAGTCTGAGGAAAGAGACATCAGGGCAAGGGATCGAGACCATGGCAGGCTGAGTAGAAGAACAAGAGCCAGAGTTTGGGACTTGGAGCCCTGGATGTGCCACCAAGCAGCCATGTGCTTCAGCCACCCACTGCCGCGTGACAAAGAGCCCCGAGTCCAGGACTGTGAGATGGTGAACCCACATCTCTCCCAGCTCCTGAGGGTCCAGGATCTGGGTGACAGATCCTGAGCCAGGTGGCTCTGGTGGCTCAGGAGGCTCAGGATGGGGACCCTGTGGCCACTTGCAGGGGCCTCCATGGCCTACCAGGTGACCACGCCACAGGAGGCTCATGAGCTAGCAGCTGTTTCCCCAGAAAAGCGATTAAGAGAGAACAACCAAGCCCGGGACGCGGGGACTGTCACACGCTGCTCCGCACCCGCCACTCCACTGAGGCCGGGGGCCAAGCTGGCCAGCCCCGTGGGGAGGGGTCCTGCGGGCTGTGAAGACCAGCAGAGGGGCCACGGGCCCTCCGGGCGGCACCCCGTGTCCCGAGGGCCTGGCCCGTCCTTCGCCTCTCTGGACGCAGGCTCCTCCTCTGTAACTGGGGCTAACGACCTCACCACCAGGCTCACGGGCCCGAGCCCTTGCCCTGGGCGGACACCCAGGGCAGGCCTGTGTGGTCTTCGGCTCTGACTTCCAATGCAGAGTCACTTGTGAATGACAGCCGGGTCCCTTTCCTTCCTAGCCCCTCCCCCAGTTCTACAGGACCCCCGGGTGCAGTCCACGCTCATCAGCTGGACGCTCAGAGCCCCCAAGGACTGGCAGCCCCACGTCCTGCCCCACTCGCCCCTGCGCCCTGGGTCCTCGCGTCCTCCGAGCTCCGCCTGGCAGCCCCCCGCCCCTGGGCCAACCCCTCCTCCTTCCCCGGACCCCCATGGGCCAGGCCCTCTCCAGCATCACCCGGCTGTGGCTCCCAGGACCCCCTTGCTCTCTGTCCCAGGTCACCCTGCTGTGCGCGCCCCATCTCCTCACCACAGGGGTAGCTCAGCCCTGTGTCCAGCGGCCAGCACAGGCCCCGGGTGGCCCACCGCAGCGTTCCAGAAGGGCCAGGAACCAGAGAGTCAAATCCAAGGCTTCCAGGGGTGGAGCTCTAGCCTGGCCCCGGCCTCCCTCCACCAGGTCTGGGGCCCCAGGAGGCCCTGCACCCTCCGCAGCTGCTGAGTCACTGATGGGCCCTGGCGGGAGGCTGTCCATCACCGGGAGCTGCCCTTTCCTCGGGGTGCCACCAGGGGGGTTGGCCTTTCTTAAAAATAGAAGTATCATCATCACCTTTCTGTCCCTGAGGCAGCCCGGGAGGCCATTTTCAAATGCAGATTGCGTCCTCTGGCCGGGCTGGAAGCCCTGCCTTCCCTCACAGGGTCAGGGTGCGGTGGGAGCTGCTCTGGGTGACATTGCTGTGGGACTGGCCTCCTGGCGCCCAGCCCTTCTCGGCTCCCAGGCCCTAGCTCAGCAGCGTCTCGCCCCCTTCTGAAAAGAGCAAGTGCCATTGGAACTCACAGGGGGCTTCCAGCAGAGGGGGCAGGTGACAAGGCCCTGGGGCAGGTGGGGCAGAGCCGCTGGGAAGCCCCTAGCTGCAGCCAGGCCCTGTTCTGCCGTGGGGCGGGCTGACGCACAGACAGGCCCAGCAGAACACGGGTTGGGGATGGAGGAGGCCCAGCAAGTCCCCTGGAGGTTATGTGGAGCACGTCCCCAGGGGAGCTGCTGAGAGATTTCGGAGTTCCTTTGTGACCCCGGCATTGTCACAGCCAAGTCAATGAAGGAGTGAATAAAAGGGGCTTCCTGTGTGTCCTGGCCGACCCGAGTGGGCGGGAGGAGGACCACCCCCTCCACGGAGCACCTGGGGGAGGGTCGGGCCGGGCAGCTGCCACCCTCTGGGCCTCGGGTGAGGCTGCGTCCTGGCACAGGGCCAGGCGCGGAGAGACACCAGCTCAGGGGGGAGGGAAGGGGCTGGGGGAGGTGACCTCCAGAGCCACCCCAGGGACTCCTGCCCCCTGCGAGGTCCCACCTCCAGCCGTCCATTCAGCATCTGTGGATTAATCCGCGAGGCCACAGCCCCTGGGACCCTTGTCACCTCAAGCCCCACCTCGGGGTCACAGAGGCTGGAGGAGGAGGCAGAGGCCGGACCAGCACTGAAGCCCTCCTCCCTCATCTCCACTGTCCCCGTCGTAAACTAGGACATGGGGCTGGTCACATCAAACCGACCTGAGCCAAAAGAAGAACTTCCCGGCTCCCAAGGTGCAGAAGGGCCTGGGCTGTCTGCCTTCAGGCAAAGCTTGATCAAGATGCCGTGTGATGAGGAGGGGAGGCGTCTCTCCTTCCAATTCCCAGCCACACCAGGGTCGGGAGGCTTCGCGGTTCAGAAGCTCCCCCAAGTGAGGGTAGGTGGCAGCCGAAGCCCAAAGCCTCCCTCCCCAGGGCCACACGCCCCCCTTCCTCAGCACCCAGTCCTGCTGTGGGTTGAATATGGATAATGTCCCCTAAGATCTGGGCACTAAAGTCTTGGTCACCAGGTGACACTGTTGAAGTACAGTGGACCTTCAAGAGGCAGGGCTAGCAGAGGCTCTCAGGTCACTGGGGGTATCCCTTAAAGAGGGTGTGGGACCCCTTCTCTCTCTACTTCCTGGCTCTTGATGTAAACAGTCGGCTCTGTCACGGGCTCCCCGCAGCGGGTGCCCTGCCCAGAGCACCAGGGCTGCCTCTTCTTGGACTGGAGCCTCCAGACAGTGAATCAAGAAAACTCTTTTTATGGGGGGTGAACAGGGATTGAACCTAGGTGTGTGCTAACCACTGAGCCACATCCCCAGTTCCCTTTTATATTTTATTTTGAGACAGAGTCTGAGTTGCTTAGGGCTTTGAACTTGC